TATATATATATATATATATGGAATAGATTTGTGTAAAATTTTTAATTATATCTATATATATGTTGCATTTGTCACTTTTATTAATGATTGGGATACTAATCGGCAAAAAAAATTATTAAAGAAGTGTTCTACAATGAGAGCCTCAAATTAAATTTTGATAGAAATTATTTTTAAAAAATCTTGAAGCTTAATCATTAAATGCTTGAAATCAATGCTTTATATTTAGAATATTGTTTTTTCGTTGATATCTTTCGTATTGTCATTTTCATGGAAATTTTTACATTTGCTTTTTATAGTATATTAATTCCATGAATTATAAAGAAATAATTTATTTTAGAAAGGGCTTTATTTTAAAAATGTCAATAATGTATTTTCATTGTATGTATGTCTTTTTTACATCGAAACGTATTTGTATGGAAAAAATTTTTCATCATTGATATAAGAGAAATAACAGGGGATCACAAGTAACATTTATATTAATTTTACTGTGTGCCTTTTACGTTTCTCGAGAAGCGTAAACATATTTCGAAGCAAAGTCCTTTCTAAAATGATCGAATTCAAACAGTAGTAAGTATCGAATTTTACGTTTGCAGCAGCAAACGAGGATTGGATCTGGGTCTTAGTCGTGGCTTCAGCGGTTCTCAAGCGGCGAAACACTTGATGGGACTTGCGGCGGCGAACTATGCCGGCGGTCCCGGACGGAGGCGTCGCTCGGAACAGGCGTAGATCGCAAACACGATCGCTGATGCCGAGAAATTATTATCCGTAACAACTATCCGTAATAATGTCACTTTTGACTCGACCCTTCTACTTTGTCTCTATCTCGAGCTTGAACCGCCATCGATCTCGAAATCGCCGTTGCCAGTGGCGTGACTGTGTGTGAATAAGCATGCATTTAAATCTCCTCTCTATATTAATTATCTTAATAGAATGTGCATAAATATATAAGCGTGTCCATCTCTTTAGAGCGTAAATAGTATAAGTTCATTATGAGTCGAAAATTACGATAATAGTAAATTAACAATTGATATTGACAAATTTGATCAATTTTTCATCTCTCTTTAACCTTTGCATCTAAAACTTTGTACACTCCTCCATCTAGTTGTACCACTGGCCGTTTGTGTCTGCTGCATTATTAAATTGAGAATTACTCAATTTTATATTCTTTTTGTAGAGGAGATATTCGCAATATGCTTGATAGGGATGCTTTTATTTAAAATTAATGTGAAGTAAAAAGAGTATCTATTTTTCAAATTATATAATGGACACGCATATCAAAAAGAACATTTATATTTATATAAATTCAAAACTGATCTTATCTTGGATTAAAGATTAATTAATAAAGATAACTTTTAAATAATTTTACAGACTCTAATTTAAATAATTCAAAATAATTTATTCGCGCACGAATTTATGCATTAATATCAAGATTTCACGATAATTTTATGAAAAAATATAAAGATTAGATGATTTTTAAAATTAAAATTTTTCTTCCTTTTTAACAGGCGAGCAAAAATTCAAAAGCATCTTAAAAGCATCACCTTCTATCATTATTGCGTTTCCCTCTTTTTCTGCTACATTTATTTGTTACGCGTGAACCGTGTACGAATTAGCAATCGTGACATAAGATAAATGAAGTGAAAGACATAGTATTTTGCTGATCCAACAGCAAGGCTCCTCCGAGTCGCGCGTCCGCGAATCGATGACGCTCCACTTCCGGGCTAAATTTATCCTAGTCATTACTATCTGCAATTGAAATGGTATACTGCGACGAATTCGTCTTACGTTTCCTGGAACGAACTGTGCTAAAGAGAGTTTTTCCCTTAATCCTTAACGCGCGTGGAATAATTTTTCTCCCGCGCTTCGAACGCTCGCTTCGTTATACTTTCATATCGTATTATATGATCGCTTAAATCTTTTCCTCCTTTCGCTCGTTTTTCTTTCCCAATATCTTAGTGACTCTTGTAAAAAAGAATTGTTGTACTTAAACTATAATAATTGTAATGGATGTTGCGTTTGTTAGACTGGGCGTTCTCAAATTTCGTTTGCGCCAACGAAACGTAAATATTTTGCGTGATGCGCGAATTCCTCATCGATGAAACATCGATTTCAGAGTTTATGATCGGAATGGTGTAAAGAACATCGCAGTGAACTTTGAATGATCGCATTTTTTATTTTATATGATTTTTACGACTCTTATGGCGTGTCGAGTAGAACAATTTGAGAACCCTACTTATTATATTTATTGTTAGGTCATTTTATTTTATTAGCTCCAACATCTATCTATAATACGCCTATGTAACATGTAATGTGCACTGGATGCACCGCGCTCGCATAAAACGAAATCTTATAAAAATACGATGTAGAAATAGTAAAATCTCGTGTCCTTTTCCGTGTTATAAACTATCTTAGATTTAGTCCGTAGATCAGGAGTGTGCAAAAAATGTTCAATTTATCCAAAAATTTTAAAAAATATATAATAGGGCAAAAATGTTTGATGATGAAATATTTGTCTTTAATATTCTAGCGCGTATTATTTTTGCGTATTATATTACAAAAAATATTATATTACAGAAATATATGTTAATAAAAAGTAAAAGTGAAATGATATTTATGACTTGTGCAATTTAATCCAATTAATCAATTTTCTGAAAAAATAATAATTCTACTTTAATTGTGCGGCGCAAATATTTTTTAATTATTTATTAATAGATAGCAAATTTTGCAATCACAAATATTAGGAACAATTTATTTAGATCTAAAAAAATACACGTGGTAGAGCAAAATTTAATGCGCGACTCAATTAATTTTGATTTGAACTAGACCCGATTCCCCTTTGACATTTGAGTTGTGCACTCCTGTTAACAGGTGGTAACCAAAGCGCACAGTAAATGTCGATAACGATTCTATTAATCACGCTCGATAATAACACGCGATATAATTGAAAGACTTGGAGCAACGACTTGCTGAATCACTATGTACATCTTACAAAATTCTCTTAGGTCATACTTTTTTGCAGAATGTACAGAAATGCGTTTATCATGTTTATCTTAAAAATAGAACGCTATAAATGCGATATGTTCGATATAGATATACTTATAATAATCACACCAAAGCTTAGCTCAATTATTTTTTTATTCACAAAATATTAATATACGTTGTTATATAATCTGTAAAATAATATTAACTAACAAATGATTTAATAGTTAGAAGCAAATCGTAATGTTATTATAATAAATAATATTTCTGTCATTTGGCATCATGTGACTTACGACCCTGTTGCTCCAAATCCTTAACAATCGTATGCCCGATCAATGTACGCGAATTTCGTTACATAGATAAATTATCTAGTATTCTAGAAATAAATGTATGTCTGTGGACGAAGCGATTCGTTCCCTTAATCGCAAAATCTAATTTGGTTATCACCGACACCAGAACGAAGCGCGTGAAATCGACCTGCGTCATTTCTGTGTATTATAAAGAAATTTATTGAGCCTCTAGTAACAACTGATCGTAAATAAAAGTTACCTACTTTAACCCAGCTATACGCGCACATTATTTATTCCGATGACACGCTCGTATTCTCTTCGAATATTTAATAGCTAAATACGACCCGCCCTCTACTTATCACTGAATTTATTTAGGATAGAAAATATGAATATTTCACACTTCTTTCTAATAAATTACGTGGCACAGCAATCTTTTAACATAGTCAATGTCAACAACCGACAATCAAGTGTCTCATCGAAAACTCATTTAAAACTATTAATTGAAAAATTTTGGAGCAGCTTCGGTAGAATGTATAGATGTTGAAAGAAGGGCATATATTTTATTCTAAAAATAATATATGTAAAAAATTTATATATTATTATAAATGTACATATTTATAATAATATTCACTGTATTTATAAAGAATAACATTTTTGCATGTTTTAGCATATTTGAAAAATTATTTCATATGCGGTTATTTGCATGCTGTTTGTGAAACTATCAACAGTATTAAATTTATCAGTCATCGCGAAAAATTAAAGCCATTAAAATCATTATAATATCACTTGATTAAACTCATCGCTAGATCAAAGATGTCACATGGTCATCGAATAAAAGATACTCGTATAACACATTGGAAAAACAAATGTACATTTATATCGTGGCATTTACGTAAGTGTGACACGCGCAACAGACAAACACAAACACATCCGATAGCTGTTCACATTCACAGCGATTCACAGTCGATCTTTCAGTCTTGTACAGCATGCGTGCTGCGAAGAGGAACGGAACGCAGCTCTTATCCGCACGAGGTTTTTCGCTCAAATCGTGATTATAGAATATATTATCGGAAACGCGATCGCGATCTTGACCGACTGTCATACATTTTGGATTGCGAATCACGAAGCGTGCCGCTATCCATGCGATTCTGCATGACGTGTACATACGCACGTCACGCATCTCGCATCTCTTTCTGTTCTATATTCTTTACGCGACGACGATACCGCTCGAAGCGACGTACTCCAAACAGTCGCAGTGCCGTATCATACATGGTGGATTTAGTAAATGCAGTCAAACGAGATTCTACATCGTAAGTGAACAAAGGTAAACCATTATCATACGACTCTTCAAAAGAAACATTTTTCTATTGCGCGATATGTTACCGATAATCACGATACACGTATACATCTGTTATCTGTTTGACTGAAAAATATGTCTTTAACCTTTCATAGATATACGCTGCATAGATATAAACCGATGTTAATCAAATGTCAATTATTATTTAAGAAACCAAGTGAATTAACCATAATTTTTTGAGCAAATATAAAGAAAGTAACTTGATATTTCTAGCCTTGAATTAAATGTTGTAACTGATTTTTTTATCAGCGTTTCTAACATGATATATTGAGAAAAAACTTTTTAACAAAGTTTGCAATGAAGATTTTATTTAATTTTTGATTTAAATTAATTTTCGTTTAATTCAGATTTACATTCATTAAAACTTAGGGATATCAAAATTTAGCAGTTTAAAATAAAATATATTTCTTATTTCTTATCGTTTTTTAAATTAATGTTATCATTCGAATCTAGAATCTTATTTCGCTAAAATAAAAATATTTACATTGAGATAATAAATCAACATAATTAGTGCAATCAAATCTCTATCACGCAAAATATCAACTCTCCACACACACACACACACACACACACACACACACACACACACATATATATATATATATATTAAACTTATTTTATACAAAGGACAGTTGTTTTGTATTCGATCGTAGCAATGATGATCGTATTGCTCGACTCATTATATTAGCTGCTAATGAGCTCGTTTACGATCTAGCCTTCTGATCGAAGAAGGATTGCCACGGGAAAACGTGTAATTGGTTAAAATGGATCGGGTGAGAGGACAAACTTCGATGGGTAATTGTCGCTCCAGAAAGCTTGGCGTTTGCGTGAGCGTGGTTGTACTCGGGACCTTTATTGGTTGGATGCTATTAGCGTACACGGCGTTTGCATCTCCGACTACTAAACATGACACGTTACAGCAAGTGGTGTTTGTAAGTGACTTGCTTGTAACAATTGTCATCTGTTATCTCATTATCCCGTTCTCGCGCGTAATGTTAATTTAATTTTATAATATTAAATTTAATAAAATTGAAGTTGGTAGATATAGAAATATTTAATTAACGAATATTATTTAAGTACCATAAATGTATATGACGAAAATGTAATATTTATTAATATATATAAAATTAAATCTATAGTATATATATAAAATATCATTTCTACTAAATAGCATTTATTTAAAAATTTCATATGTAGTCAAATATTTGATAAGCGATAAATAACGCAATTAGTTTGCAATTTTTAAACAAATAATTTTTTTCTAATATACAGAAATTCTTGATTTTTTGACAGTTGTTTCGTCACGGCGACAGAACTCCTACAGAGACCTATCCTAAGGATCCTTATATAAATTACTCTTGGCCCAATGGCTGGGGCGCCCTGACCAAGGTTGGAGAAAGATACATGAATACCGTTAAATCGAGACGCTTCGTATATAATAATAATAGATAATATATATCTGGATTCGCCATAAATTAAATCGCATCTCTGCGCGCACAATATGTAACGGATATAAGACGTGCAATCGAGCGCGAGTAAGATATGGTATATTATCAATCTTGAAATTTGCTTCCAGAGAGGAATGCTTCAACTGTATGACGTAGGTCAGTGGATCCGCCAAGAATACGGCGCTATAATCGGTAATAAATTCGAAAGCGCAACCACGTTGGTGCGTAGCAGCTACGCGGATCGATGCATTATGTCGGCGCAGGCATTACTCGCCAGTTTGTTCGCACCAAGTCCCGAGGATATGTTTTTGCCCGGATTGACATGGACTCCTGTTCCTGTACATTCGATACCACGAAATTTGGACAAGGTATAAACAAAAGGATCGAATTTTTTAAATGTGTAAGCTAGAAAGTTTGAGATTTTAGACCGAGAAATTCTCTACAACATTATCGTAAAAGAATTTTTTTTATAGTAACTTAAAACTAAGGTTAAAATAGCCTATATGTTACCAAAAAATATTTTTCTTTTTCAATTTGGAAAATAAATATTTTTTCATATAAAAATTTAAATAGATTACAAGAATTACTCGTTAAAATATGCAGACCTATAAAGAAGCTTATTTGTCAAGACAATGATATTACAGCTAATAATAGTGAAGGCACCATGTCCCAGGCTAGAGAGAGCTTTAAAACAGGCTTATTTAGACGAGGCAAGAAGATCAGGCGCAAAAATGGCCGAATATTACAGAGAACTGACGGAGCATACTGGTCAGAATATGAGCACGATTACCAATGTCGAGTTTCTTTATAACACTCTCGAGATCGAGGAGCAACATGGTTTGCAACTGCCGGAATGGACGCAAAAGTTTTACAATAACGAGATGCGCGAAATAGCCGCTCGTGGTTTGACGATCTTCACTGACAGCACTATTCAAAAACGTCTTCTGGGAGGTACGATGGTATCTTTGCATCATTAGTATCGCTTTAGATGCGCTTTTTAAACTGCATCGCAGAATCGTTAGGATATTATATACCGTTACGAAATACCGTAAAAATTCTAATATTGCCGCATATATTTTAATATTTCCAGGTCCGTTGCTAAAGGAGATTTTATCGCATATGGAAGAGACTAGAACCGATTCTAAACCAAAACGATCTTATTTTTATTCCGCCCACGATATAACTATCGTCAACGTGTTGAGAACGATGGGATTCACGAACGAACTTTTTAAACCCGATTACGGAGCAACGCTCATATTCGAGCTGCATCTCTCCAATAATAGTGCCGATCAGGAAGTGAAGGTATGGTTATTCGTATCGTTATCGTAAAAATTTACAGTATAGCCATGAATATTTTTTGTAAAATCAGAAATTGTTTTGAATACATCACATAAATTTGAAAATGTTTCAAATTCTCAATAAGAATTTCATTATATTCCATCATTATATAGCAAATTTAAATAATAATTATGTGTGTATAATTGCCAGAAATCATATCTGATTAATATAATTAATAAATAATTTGCAATTATAATCACTGAGCATAATCACTAAGATTCATGCAGAATTTTTAAAATAGCTTACATAACATCATCGCGCACGATAAGTATATTTGCACACGCAACATAAAATTAAATTATAATTTTTATGTTTTATATTTATAAAATTATTTTTCTATAAATTTTTTATAAATTTCTTTCTTTTTACAAATAAAAAATTTATAGAATAATAATTTGACAAATGATGTAAGGTTAACATTTAGAGAGATAATAGATATGTTATGTATGCAATATTTTAATTCTATATATTTTTTTCTTTGTTATCATAGGCACTATATTTGAATAATACGGAGACGAAAATCCCGCATCCTTTGCAAATTCCTAATTGCATGAGTCCATGTTTATTGCAGAATCTGAAGCAAGTGTGGCGCGAAGTAATCCCGAATAATTGGGACGCAGAATGTGAAATATAAAATGTTTCGCTAAATGTTTTTTTGTATTGTTTCGTATACTTTATATATATCAATTTTTCAGTCACTTTTTTATGCGGAAATTGCTGTTACATATATATATGTGCAAAGGGATACAAAACTTAAAATGTTAATATATTTATGGATATATGCAAATAATATGTTTAAGTTAATATATAAAAATATAAAAGCAATTATATATTGAATATTTCTCTAAATATTATATCTTATAATCGTCAGTAAATATTGATATTTAGTATAAGAATTATAATAACTTGTGCATTTATATAATATCACCATCGACTGATAACGATTTATATAATGGATATAAAAGTTGCTTGAATAAAAAAGAAATACGAGGAGAGAAATTGCAATCTTATGTGCATAACAGTAATATAGAGAATTTCTTTGTTGTACTTACCAACATTGATCTGCTAATGAATGTGTTAATAGCTGGAATGTGTACTTCCTCTTTTACCTGTATATAGAGACGCATGCTGATGAAGGGTCCACGAATCTGTAAAAGTAAAATATGATATATATATATTAACATGCATAAGTTTATATGTAATTTGAAAATGTATGTATGCGTATTCGTTTATAAGATGTTTATATATATTCAGTATGAATGGTACAAAAAGTTTTACACAGAAGGCGCCTCTGACACCTTATTGCAGGGTAGCGTTATCATCAAGACAATTATCAAAATGGAATGTGTTAGCATTTATACAAGATCCGATAAATGATAAGAAAATATCTTTGACGACGTCTATATTGACATTAATATAAGATAGAAATTTTTATACGTGAGAAATCGTATTCTGTAAAAAAAATTTGAAATCTGAGAAAATTAGTATTTCTCCGAGAAAATAAATTTTTATTATATTATTTGTTGCTTTTCAATAAAAAATAATATGCTTTTAAAAAAATTTTAAATTATTTCTTTGATCATATATATATATATATACTGTTTGCTCAAATTATTCTTTATTTTGTTCATTCTTATAAAATGCTATTTTCGAATAAATTTTGATTTACTTTTTAAATTTTAATAATTTAAAAAAAAAACTTGTTTATCAAAAATATTCATAAATACTATTCTGTTTCTTAGAGAGAATGTAAAGATACTGATCAAATGTATAATACACTGCTGTATAACTTGGTATCCTAGCAAGCCAGTTGTAATTCGAGCGAAGCTTGTTAAGATGAATAAATGGACACGAAATCGTTTAACCGGGATGTGCCTGGTTTGCTTATGCAACGGCTGACACTGGCCATTTTGCATATTGTTACGTAATATCGTATGTGATTATTGCGTGAACTATTGTCTGTTATATCTAATAGTGCGTGAGCAATTAGTAATTAAACAGTGCAATGCGCTCAGTGCAATAATAGGAAATGTATCTTTCTGTGATCAATGTGTTTTATTTTCTGATAATTTTAAAGAAATATTTTATCGTCATATGATTTTAATCAAAATGCTTTTTAATTATGGCTTATTATGAGAAACGATTTAAACGATAAAAATAGTAATTTTTTAGCAAATAAATAAAAATAATTTAAAATGAGAGTGAAAATAAAAACATTTATTATAATTGTTTTGTTTTTTAATTATATTCTATGCAATGATGTTTCAGTCTGAAACACGAAATCTTCTCTCTCTTCTCGGGTGAGTTATAAAAGAATGTATTAATTATAACTTTTCTCACACACGATATTGCCTCATTTATTTTACTCTCCGCTATTTCCGCAATATATTTTACTTTTTAAGTCAAAGCAAGTCAAGGGAACTGCTATATATATAATATCATTTATTTAACAAGAAAGATAAGACATAAAGCTTAGCTTGTGCTTATCTTTCCCCATGATTCATTACTTGATGATTTAAATGCCGCGGTTTTATCCGCGCAGATTTATCGCTTTACTCACGATTCAATTGAGCGCACTATATAAGGGAAGGTCATAGTTATCGATTGTCTTTTGACATGGCCACACATTGTTAACATTACGCCTCTGTGTCGTTATGTCACTGTCATTCACAACCTTTCTATTATAGAATTACATAACTTACTATTAGTACATAGAAGGAAATCTGGAGTGATTTAAACACACATATACATTCTATATTTTTTACATATTTTCATTAAAAATTTCATTAAAAAAAAAAAATTGATCAATTTTTTTCTTCACATATCAATCTATCAATTTGCTATTAATTTGTATTTGTTATTTTTAACAATTTTACTTGTAATGTAAAATGTGCTCTGACAATTGCTTTAATTAAGAAAATAAACCCTCTGTTCATTAATACAATAGGTGCAGGTGAAAATGGAGGAAAAGGAAAGAGGGATAGAGCATTATTTATTCGGCGCTCTCACAATATATTTTTGGATAATAGATTATGTACATTATAATGGTATGCAATATTTGCGTGAGAATTGCTGCAAAAGTGTATTCGATACACATAAGTATATATAAAAAGAACAAACTCTCCACATAATCGTGTATGAAAGGGAGTGAAATTCTTCACTTAATTCTTCTCCTTTGAGAATTTAACAGATTTCAATGCAATTTTCTAACAGCACTCTATCCCTCCTAACCTTGAGCCTTTATTCAGAGAAAAATTCATTGTACCTTGATATATCTCTGCATACTTTGCCATCCAACGCTTTGAATATGCACAACAATAACAATACAAAATTTTCGCGAACGAATCAGATACGCGTGTTGTTTTTTTAGATTCGATTTACCGTCGACACATATCGCACGATTCGTACCCCACTTGCGTCCGCGAGTCTTACTTAGGTTTGAAAAATAATTTAAATATAACGAAAGCGGCAATTTCGCGTCTAACGCAATAGTGCTCAATTTCAGACATGAGGGCATACAGATACCGAGCGCCCGAAATGTTACGGAAAACTTTTGTAAAGCTTTTAACGGATGTTCCGCGCAAAAAAAGGCAATAGTAAATGCAATAGTAAATATTTAGAAGCGAAAAAATCTATTGGCACTTATATAATCGCGTTGTCTTATCGCGATTCTACGAGTAGTATAAATCATGTCCGTACAGTATATACATAAAATAAGAAAAAAATTGATATAAAAGATAATATAGTGATATTAAATACATAATATTATCTCGTTTTTAACTTATGTTTCCTTTCCTCGTGCAATTATTTCTCTTTGTTTCTCTTTTATTTACTCCGGATGAAGCGACGAAGCGTTCCCCGATAAAGTATACACATTCAACGTGAAATATTAAAGTTATAGAGATCGCGCGCGATCTCTTGTTAATCGACTTGAATTCGCGCATGCAACTCTCGCGTTCGTCGGCCAATCAACATCGCGGAAAAGCGATTATGCGATTATGCGATTATGCGAGGTATCTCGAACTTCGTATTATTAAGATTGACTAATAAATCTTTAAATTGCAAAAATCAATAACTAAAATATTTTCCAGCTTCTTTCTACATTTTTATAATTATGCTTTCATTTACTTTTGTCTATCCAATGATCTCTATTGTGACCTATTTTCTATTCAACAAATTAACCTGTATTTACTTGAATTATAATTGGATTAATTCGTCAATGGATAATTTAACTATGATTAATTAATATTTATAAGATGCGGTCCATATATATAAATAATATAAAAATCCGGTTCCACTATACCGTCTTGTTCATTCATTCACGCCTTGACAATTGTCAGTTGTCAGTCGTGCTGTCAGTCGGCCAGAGAGAGAGAGAGAGAGAGAGAGAGAGAGAAGGAGGGAGAGAGGGAGAGAGAGAGAGGGAGGGAGAGAGAGAGAGGAAGGGAGAGAGAGAGAGAGAGAGGGAGAGGGGGAGAGAGAGACCGCATCACTCCGCGTCTGTGCACGAGGTACACGAGGAAGGAGGAAGGAGTAAAGGAGGAAGGAGTGCCTGCCTCAGTCAGAGTCAGAGATCCAGTATATCAGTTCCATTTATCAGTGCGACTCCGCCTCGCGATCGTTGGCTCGCTTTTCTAGTTTATTCTCTCAAACTGCTCACGGAACGCAACGCAACATAACGTGTCTACCATCGGTTTGCGTCATCATTGACGATTGTGAACAGCTCCTCTGCCACCCCTACTACCATCACCACCACGTCCTCCGGAAGTCCGCGTTGTACGCGATCTTCCGCGGTCGATGTGCATACGTCACGTCGGCAGCGGATCATCTCGCCGTCGTCTTGACTAAGCGCTGCACTTTCCCATTAGTCCGCATCGGTCGTCTCGTCTATTGCGCTCTAGCAAGCGCGCTCGTTCAACCTTGACTGGCGGATCTGAACAAAGGTTGGTGCTCTCTCGGCCACGGCCTTCCACAGTCTTGTCCGTGCGCTCATCTTCACAGTTTTTGCGTTTTCGCACTTCGCTCTTCATTGCACGCGTTAAATATTTTGTTTCGAGTCTCGGAAAACCGAGTCTTGAAAGGTATAGTAGATGGAAGGAGGTGCTATGTCGGAAAAGAAGGTGGTACCGAGAACTTGCATGTGGTCGAGGGTTAAATTTTTTTTCCAGGGATGATGCTTCTCGCGATACTTTTCGTCTGCCTTTAAAGAATCTCCAAAGCACAAACATAAAATCTAAAGTGGAATACTTTGATTTTTAATTTACGTGATCTCTTTAATCTTTCTAGACCAAACTATTCCACTTTGGAATAACTGACTTTGAATTATCTATAGTAATAGTCTTATCATAGTATTTTAAATAAAGGAAATATATTTTACAATGGTATTTACAAGGTGTTAATTAAACTGTTAATGTACACAATGTTACTACTAAGCAACAAAAAAATATTTTGCTTGTTGCAGATCGCCAACATGTTTAGCTGGCTAAATCGTGAAGAGAATAACAAGCAAGATCTCTTTGAAAATGTTACCGAAGGTCTCAAGAGGATATACAAATCCAAGTTATTACCATTGGAGCAATATTATCAATTCCATGACTTTCATTCACCACAATTGGATGATCCAGATTTTGATGCAAAACCCATGATTCTCTTAGTCGGGCAATATTCAACTGGCAAAACTACATTTATCAAATATTTATTGGAGAGAGAGTTTCCTGGTATTAGGATTGGACCAGAGCCTACTACAGATCGATTTATAGCAGTCATGTATGAGGAGAAGGAGGGTGTTATTCCTGGAAATGCCTTAGTTGTAGATCCAAACAAACAATTTAGACCACTTTCAAAATTCGGCAATGCATTCTTGAATAGATTTCAATGTTCAACTGTAGCTTCACCTGTTTTAAAAGGCATATCCATAGTGGACACACCTGGTATATTATCTGGTGAAAAACAACGAGTAGGTGTTTCTTTTATATAGCTTAGTCTTTGATAGGTTACTTAATAAAAGATATATAATATTTGATAAATATGCTAAGATGTCTAAATATAAAATATTCTTCTTTAAGGTTGACAGAGGATACGACTTTACTGGTGTTTTAGAATGGTTTGCTGAACGTGTAGATAGAATTATATTGTTATTTGACGCTCATAAACTTGATATATCAGATGAGTTTCGTAGATCTATTGAGGCCTTACGTGGACATGATGATAAGATTAGAATTGTTCTTAACAAAGCTGATATGATAGATCATCAACAACTCATGAGGGTATATGGTGCATTAATGTGGTCTTTGGGAAAGGTTCTACAAACTCCAGAAGTGGCTAGAGTTTATATAGGCTCATTTTGGGATCAACCATTAAGATATGATGTTAATAGAAGGTAAATCCTTTTGTATGTCTTTTCTTTCTATATTAATTTATTATATATTATATTTGTAAGTCATGTGCATGAATCTTCTTTTAGGTTATTTGAAGATGAAGAACAAGATCTGTTCAAAGACATGCAATCGCTTCCAAAAAATGCTGCATTACGAAAACTTAATGATTTAATCAAACGAGCACGTTTGGCAAAGGTATGTAAAGCAAAGAATTTAGATTAAAAGATTGATCAATAGTTATTAATATTTTGAACTGAGTATAGCAAGTTTGAAACAAATCTGTAATTCTTATTATTAATTTACAGGTGCATGCATATATAATAAGCGCCTTACGAAAAGATATGCCAAGCATGTTCGGCAAAGATACCAAGAAGAAAGAACTGATAAAAAATTTGGGTCAAACTTATGATCAAATACAAAGAGAACAACAGATTTCACCTGGTGATTTTCCAGATTTAAAGAAAATGCAAGAGTGTTTAGCACATCACGATTTTAGCAAATTTAATCCTATTAAACCTAAGTTATTAGAAGTGGTAGATAAAATGCTCGCTGAAGACATTGCAAAGCTTATGGCTATGATACCACATGAAGAAGTCACCACAGTTTCGGAACCACTTATTAAAGGTATAATTTTTCAGTGCATATTTAAAATTTTTTATCTTGAATCAAATCTACTTTAACAGAAATTTTTAATATTAAAGAAAGACGGGGAGATCCATGTAACAATTCCACAAAATTTTTGCTAAAAAATAAATATAGTTTATTAAGGAATTGATATAAAGAAGATATGTAGTGATTGCATACTTTGATTTATTGAAAAATATTCATATTTTATTTATTTAATTTTAGGAGGTGCATTTGAAGGTGTAGAAGATCAAGTTAGTCCATTTGGATACAAAAGAGGAGAAGGAATTGATGCAGGAGCAGGTGAACCAGAATGGATTGTCAATAAAGAAAGATATAAATATGATAGCATGTTTGAATCACTTGGACCACAAGATGGAAAGATTACGGGAGCAGGTAAAACTAATTAAATTTTTACAAACATATTTACTCTTCTTAAAATAATATATCTCAATTTTTGCACAATTCTTTGTATTACTGTAGCGGCTAAATCGGAAATGGTCAAGTCCAAATTGCCGAACAGCGTACTTGGAAAGATCTGGAAACTCTCAGACATTAATAAAGATGGGTTCTTAGATTCTGATGAATTTGCCTTAGCTATGCATCTAATTAATGTAAAACTCGAAGGTTATGATCTCCCGGCCGAGTTGCCAGAACATCTAATACCACCATCAAAACGCGATACATAATATATTCTTCTACTGTAATTTATTAAATTTCACAAATGGCATGCGCGCATGCGGTTTCTTGAAGGCACAAGAAACCACAGATATTAGAACGACTTGTCAAGCGTGCGCTGATTGATGCCATTGGTTCACAGGTTTGAGAACTATAAAATTATACTTTTATTACCAGCTGTATCATATTATGTGTATACTATAAACGGTCCGAACGGGCCGACTCGCGTGAAGATACACGGTGCGTCTCGTTGTTGCGCGCTTACTTGGCGCGAGACACTACCGTGTCTCTTAATTATTCTGATAATATATCAAGGCCGGGGAACATATACAGCTTGCAATTTTTAGAGAAATACTGTGCAAGATTGATTAGTGCAAAAAATATATATACGGTATCTTTCAAATAATATTTTTCCGAAATATATATAAGTGGAGAAAAACTATACACATAGTATGCCATGCTTACTGGCATATTAGTATATAAACAACTTAGAATATTTGCTTTTATTTAAGATATTAAGTTGAATCGAAACTTTGGCCTTGGAATTGTATTTGTGCTTTATAACTTTGTAATTACATGTCCTGAATTGGAGAACGTCACTCGATCAATGAATAGAGACTGCATTTGGTTATACTAAAGCAAATAGCTTTTTTCTTTTTTTTTAAATAATAATATACAGGATATTTCTGACAGACCTGATCTAAATTTAGAGAAACATCATTTTGCAGATAAAATAAACTTAAATTTAATGTTTGAAAGTACTTCATTTGGATGAAATATATACAAACAAATATTTATTTTCTACTTAGTTAGAATTAATAGAAAATGTTTCCAAAATTGGGTCATTTTAGAATACCTTGTATACAAAAATAAAAAGAAAGTAAACAATGAACATTTATAAGAAGATAAAAGACTGGATAAAAGATGTAGACTTTGCATATTCTAAAAAAAAGAATAAATTTTTGAACTCTGACAAAAATTATTCTTAACACAATGAAAGAAGTTTATCTTATTCCATATATCAATCAAAAAATCACAGGAATGTCTGAATTCTTTAAATTCTTAAATAGAGAGAAAGAAATAGAATTCTTAACCAAGCTGACCAAAAAAATATATTTAAAACTTAAAATTTTGGTGAAAAAATACACAATTTTGTTCACTCTATGTTATTAATCAATAAGAAGTAATACATACAAGACAAATTATTTTAAGTTATAATTTTTGAATTTATTTAATCTTACTTACATTGCAGCTAATATCTGTTGCTCATATTATGCTATTTTACCAGACTTATTTAGATTATTAGATTTGTCTCTTCTCTGCAACATTGACCAAAGAATACGACGTTAGAAATAAAAGTATATCATACATGTGGGTAATATCAAGAAATTTCTAATTATAACATATATTATCATTAGCACAAATTATGCTATTTATAAAAATTTTGATATTCAAACACTTTTCTTTTTTCTATTTTATTAATTATGAAAAAAGCTAGGAGAATTTTAATATTGTGTATATTTGTTATTCTTTAATTATGCGCACTGTAAAAACGGCTCTAATATTACTTTGTTGAATTCTCGATTGCATTTTTCTATTAGCACTGCCTTCGCATGCCGCGAATTTATGTGATATCAGAAAATACATTCATATTATAAAAAACTGTTTGTACTATTCGAACAAATATTTACCTCAAATTTATATTAAAAAATAATGTAAAATAAAAATAGTCAAAAAGCAAGGCTATTTTCGGAATAAATAATATATATATATATATATATATGAAATTTAAGTACAGTTTACTTGCCAACAATTTACAAGAATGCGTATCCATTCTACGTTACATGTAGAATGTTGCTACAGAATTTTAATTCAGTCCATTTTTGCATTTATATAAATACATTTGTTTAATCCATATTTAGTTATTCTGTATTTTTTATTATGTATTTTTATCACTGTTGGCAACAAAATAAAAATTATTTTCTGTTTAACAAGTATCCTTTTAGTACTAATTATCGAGAAAAAGAGGAGAGGTTAAGAAAAAGCACAGCACATACATTTAGATACCTTTAATATACGATATATATATTTTAGTTCTTTATACATATTTATATAAACCATAAAATTACAAATAGTTTTTAAATATCTATATATGTGTAAAATGTAAAATATTTTATATAAAATATATATTATATAAAAAAATATTCGGATATAT